AAAACATTACCTGCAAGCAATAAAATTTATCTGAAGGTAAACATATTGTTTATTTGACAGTGTCAATGTTGGTATGGTTGCTTATTGGGTTCCGGTCAATTACCTTAATTTATTACGTAAATCACATTATTCAAGAAAACTGTAAGATTATACTTATTTAAAATAAAAAGAATTTCACTTTTATAACATTTTTAATTTTTGATACTTAAAAGTATCCGTCCGTCTTCTGGTGAAAACTTTCTGAAACAGGTCACCCTGAATAATACAATACGCCGCCAAATCGGATGTCAGTCGTTCGAAAGTTTGTCGTTTTTCAATTTAACCGTTTCGTAAAATTTAAATTCTATATAAATGCTTAAATTCGTAGAAAACAAACGAATAGGAATTTCGTAGGCGTCAATGAAATTCTATAAACTGATTCTGTTAAATTTAACAAAAATATAATCGAGGCAGCAGCTGTTTCATCTAAATATTGTTTAAACGTGACAAATTTGCTGTACAAATTCGACCATTTCTATAGAAGTAAAGAGTTAATTAAACAATTATTTTATCGATTCCAGTAATACCCAATCATCCTTGCTTATGTATTTTAATAGGAACGCCATTAATTCTTACAAAAATATAAAATCATGGAATACACTGTATTATAGCTTATTATATGCTATATTTATTATATCTACCAGGTTTTATTTCATTATTATTACGATTTTAATGTGTCCACTTGAATAGTTTTCACAAAACATTTTACAAATTTATAGATTTTTTGGAAGTGTAGACACAAAAATGAGAAAGTATACACTTTATCACTTTTTGAAATTGACTTGATTAATATACATAGAATTCTAATATTAACTTCATTTTTGAAATGGATTGCCAGAAAAACTGGATGATAAATATGACATAACTGATTCCAAAATTATTCACTACACATTAAAAAAATAAAAATTTAACACACTCAACAATTGATTAGTATATTCCACATTTTATTTCAACAACTTTTACATACAGAACAAACTAGAGGCATACACTGTTTTGACTGACAATCAGTTTATCATAGAAAACATAAAAAATTAAGAAATCAGACTAAAATTGATCTCAAAATAATTTATGAAAAGTATATATATTATGAACAAGATTATAAAAAATAATATTATATAATATATNTAAATCACTGATTTTGTACACTGACTTACAACAATAATTTATTATTCAAATTAATTCTAGATTTATTAAAATTGATTTGTTAAAGATGCTGAAAATTTGATATGGCCCATCTCAAACAAATTTTTATTTCTGGCCTTTTTTATATATGGATGAAGAATCTTATTAATTGTAAATTAACTTACATAGAATTGTTTTAATTATAAAATTTATTATGAACTGGTATAAGATGGATGGATCAGACAATTTTGTTTTTTAAAGCCCTTTAATTAAATAGGTTTGATATATTTATATTTGCAATATTTAGTTCAACAATGCGAATATCACAGGTATACCTATGCACAAATTATAAATGTATTTGGTTTGTTTCTTTTGTCTAGATATTTGTTCTGTTCTCTCATTTACATAACATAAATTTAAAAAGAAAATATATGCCAGATAATATATAATACATATGCTGTACAGTACTTTGACTAGTTAACTGGTTTAAATATTGTAGGAGTTTTATTTTAAGAACAAGACAATTTTTCTATAAATCAAATAAAATTTTTAACACATCATCTTTATTATTTATTATAACTGGAATATAATTTTTGCATAAATTGGATATTTTTCTTATTATTATTTGTTAAATTTTGAAAATTTTACAAAAATATTATTGTCACTTTCCCATAATCTTCTATTCTGAAGTTTTATTTTACATGACTGTCTATTATAAGTAATGTAAAAATAGCATTTTTAAAATTCTCTATATCATCCGCATTTATAATTAAGTAACAAACAATAATGTTACATGATACCAACTGATACAACATTTATTCATCATGGAGAGGTATACTTTCAACAGATTATTTGCTTTGACAAACATGAATTTGTAAGCATAAATGCATCATTGAATATTAATCTTTTGGTGTGAGTCATACATTTCATATAATAGAGAATTTTTATATTGAATAGCTTGGTTGTTCCTGAAATTTCTGAAGCAGAAAGATGTTTGCATTTAAATGCAGAAAAAAGTTATTTAATATGTTATTTCAAATGTTATTAAATTAATTATTTCATCTATTCTAAAAATTTTTATTAAGTCAATCTTTAATAGCAGAAGATTGCTAATTCTACAGTAACAGATAAATAATGTATTTCACATTTTAAGCTGTTCTTAAGATCAAATGAATACCAGAATCAGTATAAACAGATTGACTAAGTTCCCCCACCTTCAGAGCAAATGATGCGTCTTCAAATGGCTTTTGCATTGCCCCTCGACTGAATACTCCCAGATCTCCACCCTTCTTGGCTGAACTGCAATCACTGTATTTAGATGCCAGGTCTGCAAAAGTTGCCATGCCTGATACAATCTGTTCTCTGTAATCTGTTTAATTATTCAAATTTAAATTATAAATATCATATTTGAATCTAAATATTTTTATTCTTTTACAAAATTATGATTAATCTTCATACATTATATATTAGTATTTTTCTATGTTAATACATAAAATATATACTAATGTAATATGATATGCTATACATTTACAGTTATGTTACATATTATGTTCTAAAATTATAAGTATAACAACTGGTAAACAAATGTTTTAAATACATAAAGATTTAATATTTTAAACATAATTAATTTCAATATAATCAAACTGTTTATTAAAATATTTTTATCAATATTTTTGATATTTTTGCCTTCCTTACACAAACATAAACTAATATAATTTTGGATAAAAATTTATTAATATTTTCATAAAAAATAATTTTGTGCCATTTTTTACAGAAATTTCAATACCATATGTATTTATATATAGAGTTTAAGATATAATATAATTACGAATAAACTGTAATTAAATAATTCTGAGTACTAAAATACGAGAATTAAATATAATTCAAGTATATCTGTATCCAAATCAAATATATGAATGAATATATAGAGCCTTGTATATACATATATATATTTTATTTATTGATTTACTTTCAAATATTAATTATTTTTTAATTCAGAGTTTTGTTTTTTGATGGGTGTGTCTTCTTGATAGAGAAACATTATTTCCTATACTTAACCTTGTAATCAATGTCAAGTAAAAGGACTAACAGTACAAGGTCAAATTTTGATTTACTAGTACTATATATGTTAAAAAAAGAATAACAAGTTCATCTTTCCATTTAATCAAAAATTAGATAAGCACAAAACTAATAACTTTTATTTTAACTTTTTCATTTATTGTCTACAAAGTTAAAATTTAATTTGTAAAACATCAAATTAAATATTCAAACTCAAATAAACATCTACATGTATAAAACAAAATGAATAATGTAGCTTCAAAAATAAATTATTTAATGAAAAATAGTAATAAGTGAATCATATAGATAATTCAAAGTAAAGTAAATGTAACTAGCTATGAAATCACTTAATATGAATGAATTTCTAAGGAATAAAGTAATCCTTATTTATAGTGAATCTCTAAGCTTCATTTGCATGCATTTTCTTAAAATATCTTTGATAAAATAATTTATATATATACATATATATATAAATTATTTATATATATATGTATTTACNTTAATATAACTTAAGGAAAAATGTTCTTATAAACGCAAACAACGCCACATCTTTTCATAATATTAGTTTTCTTTCTGGTTTTAACATTTCGTTTATATTTTACGTTCATTTCTGAGAACGGAAAAAATTTCCCTCTTTAGTTTATAATATGGAAATGTCTCGTTATATAATTTTTTTAGAATATTTAGAATTTATTATCTTTAGAAATGTGCAGTACAATACCGATTATAATGAATATAATATTTTGCAGTAGAATATTTGCATTGAGTGCTACTCTAAAAATTGGTTAAAAGATCAGATCCCGGTGTTTTCATCCATATTTAATGTGTTGTAAATGAAGCTGGCAAATAAGTGGAACTAAATCTCATCTAGCGATAAAGTTCATGCGCGCATCGCTCCATAATCTAAAGTTTTCTTTTAATTTTTTGTACAGTTATCGTGGTCGAATCGAGGTCTCTTCTCGCGCGATAAACTGAATAACATCCTTTTTATTATTTGTGAAGTTTTAATTAGTTTTACCCCTTTTCTGAATAAATAGTATATCCTTTTTTTCCCTACACGAAGTCTTTTTTCCTCGACTATCGTCGATTTAAAGCGCTCGACGATATAAGTGAGAAGGAAAAGGCGCATTTCACTCTCTCCTTTATCTTTATTACATAAGGAACATTTCGTCAGCATCGATTCCGAAGATTACCTGACGGAAAGCGAGAAAGTTGAGTCACGACGCCCCGGGTCAATCGGCCAGGTTAACAGGTGGCCGTAGAAGGGCGGTTCGACCGAGAAACGATCGGCATCGGTGCCACCACGCCCGAACTCGTAGCCCCGAGCGAGATGAAACGCGAGCCAAAAGACGTCGGCGGAAGACGACAAGTGGGCCAAGGTCGAAATCGAAATTTTCTACCACCTTCCGACGAGAAAATCGCGCCGCGAACGAGCGCTCGATTGGAGAAATGCTAGGCGGGATATATTATCCACATTTCATGCTATTGGTAAAAAAAAAAAATGGAAATTTTCCGGGGATCCGTAAGAGGAATATCCTAAAATCTCGGGTCGTCCCCTTCCAGCGATTATTGGAGAAAAGTGAAAACTACATTCGAAGAATCGATCCCTATTGTTCGCTGTCGAATTAACCGCGATTTTCGGAATTGTAATCGTATACTTTAGTAAAGTTTCCCGGCCGACACGCACGGCTGAAGGGGAACGGGGGAGGAGTACGGGTGTCGACGAGTTTGTCGGGCGACCAGTGATTGTCTCGGTCGAGCGTTGCGTAATGGTGTCGGGAGGGGTCAGAACGCCGATATAAGTGACCGGCTGTCCCGTGCCGGTCAGTACCTGTCTTTTGCAGGATGAAAATCTTCTTGCTACTCGTAGTGGCGGTGGCGGCTGTTTCTGCACAGCAAGGCCCTCCTCCAGCGGGTCCTAGAGGACCACCCCCGGTAAGTTCTCTCGTCATATTTATTTTAAGATTCCAAATATAGGCGATATAATTTGTTACTTAATAAGAATTAAATAAATTATCTTAATATTGTCCGTCGGAAGTAGAGAATCCTACGGAGAATTTTAATCCCGTAGGATATCCTAATGATGTAAGCTTGGACTCCATTGAGAATCTATATTACAGTTCACTTTATCTTTTCGATTGTTATCGACTTCTATTTAATTTGAATTTAATACTTGCTTTAATTATTTACAAATCTATCGCATAATTGACAAAATTTTCAATTTATTTAGTATATGATTTAATTATTTGTCGAGTGAAAAATAGTTAACTAGAATTATTTTCAGGAAGTCGACTGGGGAAAGTGTATTCAGTTGAAACCTTCTAACGAGGAAAAAGTAAGCATTTTCTATTTATTACTTACTATTCATCTATATTATTACATCTATGTAAGGAAGAACAACTGACTTCTAAATCTACGAATATACGGATTTAGAAATACATCTTTATTTAATTATGTTGACTGAAATTGATCTAGAGAATATTTTAATGAAATTTTCTGACACAGCTAAGGAATAGAATAGAAAAGAAAAACATTTCGTTAGTTATCCGCATGCAATCGGAAAGACGGATCGAAAACAATTACAGTGAATACACCTAGCTAGTATATAGGTTGGGAAAAACGAAAGAAAAGAAATGCAAAGAAAAACCGAATAGAAAACCTAATCTATTAAAGAATTAGATTATTCAAAAACTATCTGATAGAAGTAGAGCAATCGTTTTCTGCATTCTAATGAGCTGGAACTAGAATTTGCGTAGGCAGTTTTTTTATTTTCATTTTAGTTAGAACCTCTTTCGAATTTCGAATTATGTTCCCATTTCTTTAAGATAATATTTAACGGTGATCGGCGAATTAAATATTTAACTTCTAACAGTGAAAATTTAGCAAATGCGGGAACTCATTGGGATGATCAAAAAATAAATTGCTTAAAAATTAATAAGTCGAAAATGTTGCTAACTTTAAAATTTACCTTCTCATAAAACATGACAACAATTTCCTCTTTAGAATGAAAATTTCTTTCCTTTGCGTAAATTACAATCCTAAATGAGGTCCTCCAGAGTACGGTACCGATTATCCCCAATTAGTACAATTAACAATGATTTCAATATTGAATATTTTTATCAGGAACAAAAATCAAAACTGATCCAAGAATGCCTTAAAGAATATCCACCTCCTGCTGGTGAAGTAACTAGAGTAAGTAATATGTATTTAGTTATTTATTCATTACAATGTAGATGACCTAGTTTAATTTTAAATTAATTTTCCAACTGTTTTTTCAAATAATAGGAACAGATTGACGAACATAGAGACAAAATAGCTGATTGTGGTCTTAAGAAGGAAGGATGGGTAAGCATTCTCGATCTCTTAAGAATTTCTCATATAACAGTCCCTATATATTTATTTCTGTCTTCCAGTTGAACGATGACGGAAGTTACAAATTCGACAAAGCAGAAAAAGAACTTAAAGACAAGAAACTGGATAAACCGGTAAAATTGATGCGATTCTATCTAATGTTAAAGAATATCTAACTCTTTAAGAAATTGGTATACAATTTATTCGTAAAACAGGTCTAACTTCTTTTATTTTCGTTTAGATCGAAGAGAAAGTCATAAACAAACATAAGGATTGCCAAAAAGAGGCCGTAAGTTTGCGTATAATGTACCAATTACAATGAATTAATATTCAAAACTTAATACCTTTTTTGCTTATTTTGCAGGCTGAACGATTCCCTGGCAATCACGCTGAACAAATACAGATGTATCAGGCTTGCATGGATTTCCACATTTCCAAGGTAGACTCTTACTCGAATGTGTCCATAATAACTTTTATGGCATGATTCTGTCTCTCGTAACATTTAACTAATATTTTTATTAATATTGGTAGGAATGCGGTATCCAAGTAGCTAATCCACCCCCACCACCACCACCACCATCTCCTTAAGCATAAATTTAAAAACAGAGAGAAGCCCGGACCGGATCTTGCTTTAATTCTCAAAATTTAACGACTACGGTTTTCAATGTCAAAGTTTCAATCGACGGAATTAATTTTGTGTATATTTTGAACCGAAATGTACAGTAGTTTTTTATGTATAGTCGGTTGAACTACAATGTTAAATGTACAGCCGTCATTTTGATTTTGGTATTGTTAAAATAAAATTGTCTTTGTAGAAATATTTGCTTGGTTCTAGACATCATTATTTATATATCCTGTTATCATAAGATTTTCATTTACAGGGATTTATTTACTTATTTTGATTGTTTTCTACGTTTTATTCGCACAGAATAACTTTAACACTTTTGTGCAAAAATAAAAAAAAGCTAAATTCATACTCATCAATATCTAAAGGCAATCAACAAAAGATCGACTATAATTCTAGTTTTGAAAGGCTATCGATATTAATTCAGAGGTTTCCTTAGATCTATTGATAGATATAGAAAATCTCAGGGATCTAGAAAATCCAAGAGACAATGAGACAGTCAAAAAAAAAAATGTAAATTTATGACAATGATTTTGAAAATACATGAAGAGGAAATATTCGACCTTGGAATAAAAATACTACGTAGTAAAATCGAATTCTAATTAAAAAGATTTCATTTCATCTAGTAACTTTTGAATAAATTATTAGGCAAATATTTATCTTCCTTTGGCTTTGGTTACGTCAGTTTAGCCAAAATCCATTCTCTTTCCCCCTAACAAAGCCTCTCCCTTGCACATAATCAACTCGAGCCACAACTTGATTAAATTTAAAGTTGTATAAATTATAAAAATTCCATTCCACAGCACTGGTTATAGACGGACATATCAATTTTTTAGAAGACAATTAGCTTTACTTTCCCCGGCTGTTATGAAAAGTATGACGATTGATCAAAACTAATCTTCCACCAAAGATTTTTACATTTTTGTACTCTGGACTTTGAAACGCCGAGAAATGCAAAACAGTTGGAGTTTTTTTCTGTATGTATGGATGTTGCTGTTTTCATCCACGTTGAAGTTTTACTTTTGTGCGTTTTGTCGAAAAATTCTGAAATTTTGCAGGGAGGTTTCTGTGTCAGAGGAAAATATTTCCAAACATTTTCAAGAAAATCGGATCATTGGTTAGATAATAGCGAAATTGAGTCCGAAGTTTTAAACGCGTACGTCGGACGTTCAGTGCCGCTTTCTGTAAGCCTAGAAGTTTGACAATGGTGTTTGGAATATCGAGCATGATTCCATTGACTATCCAAACACCATTGTCAAACTTCTAGGCTTACAGAAAGCTGCGCTGAACATCCGACGTACACGTTTTAAACTTCGGCCTCAACCTCTCTATTAAAGAGTGGGAGACACATCTCAAAACGCTTCCAAGTTGTGAAGTTTTTTTACTCGTACAAATTTTTAGTTAGCCAAGCGGTTCTGTTCCCTGAACACTGGGAGTTCGGTTCGTGGGTTACGCGCCTCGCCCGGATGGGCTGGCCACGTTAGAGTTTTTCGGGTTTTCTTCACGTTAGTAACAGCTAAATAGGGGAAGTTTCTCAAATAATAAAAAAAAGTCATCCGAGAGGTATCCCCCTCGGCAGATATCCCATGTGTAGCGTTGCCATATACAAATAAAAAAATTATTTAAATTTTGGGAAGTTTTTCACAAGTATATTATAGAATACAGTATTGCATCAAATTGTCCCATAGTAGAGAGGGTAAGGCCGCATATTTCAATTACTTTTACGATTATAATTTGTGAAAGTTTTTTCTCGATCCCAGTGCCTAGTTTGCCCCCTCTGCGGACGTTCGTGGACGTTGTCATTGTTTACTGAAGTCAACACGTGCAATTCTTCCATTAATTTGAATCTAGATATTATTAATGCAAAAATAAAAAGTATTTATTTATATTCCTAAAATACATTTTTTAACTAATCATTTAATCTACATTGTAAATGACTTATAATAAACTGGTTACGTTAAATAAGCTCATATTTTATTGTAAAATAATGTTTTGATTTAACGCAATAAGTACGGACAGTAAAATACATTTAATGTGTAACATAAACGTTATTTTTAATTTGCACTCAGTCAGCACCATCTGGAGACACTCGGAGAAACTAATGTGGAAATTAAAAGAGAGATGTGCTCTTTTTAAAAGTTTATATAACTACGGTTTATTCTAAAAGATGTTTACCAAGTTTTATGAAATTATAAAATTTAGCCAAATACGGAATTCGAAAGTCTCTGACTAATTTTTAACACTATTGAATATATATGACAGACATGGGCAAATGCGGCTCTTTTTGAGTTACATGCGGCTCTTGATGAAAGTGTTAATTTCTGCTTTTTATTATTATTTTTACAATTTTATTTCCACGATTTTGTGAAAATATGTTTATTTTTTAATAAACATTTAATATTCAATAACAAATTCAATATTTGTTTTATATTATATAATAAAATCGCGGTACAGAATAAAAAAGTACAGAACTGCGGCTCCCATGCATTTTGCAAAACCTACATTTCGGCTCCCACTGAACTCTTGCTTGCCCACCCCTGATACATGACTTTCTATTGTAACTTGGTGTAAGATTTTAACATTTTAGTGTATATCACTTATGTGTATTGTGCTGTATAATTTAATTTCTGGAGATGAAAAATATAGGCCTATAGGATGAATAGAAAGAGAAAACTTGGACATCGCGATAGAATTGAAACGAAATCGGAAAAAAAGCAATCCCTGTATCTGTTAGGCATAAAGGAAGTGATCCTTATACTTGCCAGCCATGGGAGACATGGGAAACACTTGCCAAGAACAAAGCAACCAAGGACGATTGCTTTGTTCGTTTTTTTGCGTCTATTTTCCATTAAAAGCATGCAATACTGTTTTTATTTTTGACCCCTAGAACTAAATTCTGTCAGGAGCGCTCAGTCGCATTGGAGAACCGGACATTGTCACTTTAATATTTTTGTATATCGAAAACGAAGTCACGAGTTCCTATTTTTACTTTCGTGGCAAAGTATAGCGATTAGTGATGTAACAAATATTCAGTTACTATTCGGTATTCGGCCTATTTTTCGGGCCGAATACAGAATAGTAACCGAATATTCGCTATTCGGCCGAATATCGAATACCTAAAAACAGGAGTAAGAAATAACAAAAACACAGTAAATTAATCATTTTGGTATTTAGATTTAATGTTGTCGGGTTAGTGTTGTTTGTTTATATTTATTTATAACTTATAACATGCACAAAATAAAAAAATAATAATAATATTAATCACATGTATTCACAATTTATAATTACAAAGATCAGCACACGTACACACCTATTCGTTCGAGAATCGTCGCACACATGTGAGGGTCTGACCCTGCCTATCCTTTTTAAGCGCTCGTCTTTGCTCTTTCCTTTCTCTTTCCTCCATCTCTCTAGTCCACGTATGCCTATGCATACATCATAATACGCGCTCACGATACTTTTGATTCGTCACTTTTCCGTCGTAGTTTTTCCATTTTTTAATTACGTGACTCATAGCCTGGTGATAACGAAGAAAAGAGACAGATAGGACGTCGGTATAAGTCACAGTTACGATGTCACAGATTCGAGACAGCTCGGTAGCCCGAATGGCCCCAGGCTTTCGCCCGTGACTTTCATTACAAACATTTAGCTTTCCGAAGTCTATGACAACAATTGTTTGACATTGACGGCCGCAAATTTCGCGCCAATAAGCTGCTTCGACTTGTTCGATTATGTTATCAACTCAATTTCATATTTATTTTCACATTTTCATTTCGTGGTCCTTCTCAGTTCTTTTTCCGTTATTTACACGTGTAGGTCATTTCATTGTTATTCATGTTACCGCTAAAGCTGGAAATCCGTTAATGTGTACATTACCTATCTAATCTGCAGATTAACTAAGGTGATCCGTTAAAGTTGCTAAAATTGTTCTATTTCTCAAATTACCTAGGTAATGTTCAGATTATCTAGGTAATCTGCAAATTATCTACTAGACACTCAGTAAAGTGAAAATAAGATTTTTGCTGGAACAACAGCAACGTTTCTGTACGCTTAAATTAACATAATGTTCTTTATTTAATTTTCGATATCTAAAGAATCAAGTTAATACAATCGAACAATCAACAAATTACTTGATAGAATCAATTATCAACCAATTAAAAAACATACAAAAAATCAAACGGTTTAAAATATTAATACAATTAGGGAAATTATTATATAGATAACCACCTATGGAATTTCGGGACTTTGAGTATATATCTGAACTGAGGAGACCGATATGACTTCAACGATACCCTATTTTTGGACCGGAGACGAAAAATAATAAAGTTATCATACGTTTTCTGGTGATCGCATGATATAATTGTGCAGTTAATGTTACCTATGGTGAGTAAAATGGCGGCTCGTCTCTGATTCCAGCAAACAGAAGAAAGGAAACAGTGGGGACGCACGTTCTGTCCTAACCTAACCTA